GAGGTTGTGTTTCACGACACTATCGTATTTGGTATACCATTTGCCGAGAGATATGAAAATACTGATGAAATGGCAGACATTTGTGGCGAACAAAGCGTTTTGGCCTCAAATGACTCGTTTGGCACTAAAAGTGTAGCAAATGTGGGACGACTTCGACGACATGGAGTTGTCGGCACTGTTACCACAACTCGAGTCCATTTGTGTCACGTCTTATGGCTATGAGTGCGACGACTCCTTCTTCAATCAACTCTCAAGACTACCAAACCTCCAGAATCTAGTCATTAGGTTTGACATGGAAAAGGACCCCGATTATCATGATTATCCACCCGAGAACGACTCAGATATCAATGAGTTTTTCTCTACATTTATATTACCCCTTAATGAATTAAAAACGTTTAAAATTTATGAACAGGATAAAATGTTTAGCCTAAACAGCACTCAGATTCGGTGTATTAGAGATAATGGGAGCTTAGAAATGGCTTATATCAAGCAAGTTTGCAATTTGATTTCGTAAATTAATTTGTTGCTAAATAAATATTCATTTATTTTGTTCATTTACTTTGTATAATCTCAATTATTTAATAAAAACTATTAGGATGTCATACAGAATATTCTGTATATCCCATAAAAAGTACATTTAAATTGAAATTTATTTATTTATTAAAGTATTTTATACAATTGAATGTTATTTACAAAATTAATTAGAAACTAAAAATTATTTATATAACAAATTCACAAATAATAATTTGTATGTTATTAATACATAATTAAATAATTAATTTATTAAATAAAACCAATAATTTATTCCTAAAATGTTTGATACAATGAAATCACAATTTGGTCACAAAATCCCTGTCCTCTGCCATCGAGTGTTGAATGTTATGATCACTTAATATACTCTCAAAACTGTTGGACTGGGAGACGGGCACTGACTTTGACACACACTTCCCTCCCACACCTGACCCCCGATTCCTGTGCTGAGTCCGGGGTATAGTCGACAGCACCTCCTGTTCGGCTACCAGTCCCCTGTCATCATCATCATCATCACCAGCGCCGGTAGTTTCTATGACTATGTCATTACAGTTGAGCACATCGTCGAGACTCGTGTCCAACGATTTGCACTTATTTTCGGCACTAAATGTCTGTTTGTTTGACACGAATTGCAATTGAATTTCATTGGGACTCGTATTCAGGGTATTATTATTCGTGATATTCTGTTGACTATTATTCACGTGATTTGAGTGGTGTTTCGCATCCGACTTATCATTATTTGAAGTTTTGCTCAAATTGTTTGCACCCCTCGTGTGGGCCAACGCCGAGGCGTTCCGCACTAACTGTCGTTCCCTTTGGCACAGGAGCTCGTATTCACTCATTTTTGTTTGCAGTAATCGCTGTAATTATCAAATAAGAGATAAATTAGTGTTTATTATTTCACGTCAATACACATATAATCAACAAATTATAGTCAATATTATGTTATCAAAAAAATCATTTACATATAAACTATAAAAACTGCAAAAATATTTTTATTTGAATATTTGTTGCTTAATTATTGATATTTCTAAAATGATATTTGCTTTTAATATTTTAAAATTAGTAGAAAATAAATAGTATAAAAATTGAGATATCTAATTGTTTACCTAAATTGTCGCTTAATTATTGCAATAAAATTTTATTATCTCTATTAATGGTAGCAAGTCTTGCACATAAATAATCATTATAATAATAATCATAGACATAATATAAATAATCTTAATAATTTATATTTCTTATTATATAAGTTAAGCATAATAAAAGTATTTTTAATTACTACTATTAAAATGAATATAATAATAACAAATATAGAGACTAATTATCACAAACTTTTAATATTCATCGCACTTGACATTAGAGGCAATTAACTATTCAAAACATTTATATATTTATTTCGTGCCGTTAATCTAACTGTCCATATGATAATAGGTAGAGGTATGTCTGTCCGAGTGGTAGTGGCTAATACTGTGTGGTTTGTCATTCATTTTCATATTTCCAAGAAATGTCTAATAAATATTTATAAATCAATTGAATATAGCATATGAAATATATATTATGTAACTTAATTTGCACGAATATTCTCGATGTAAATGAGAACTTTGGTGTATATATTATTATATTATAATATAATATGTATAATATACTATATTTATACAAAAACAAATCATATTATAAATTTTGCAAAACACAATAGGAATTAACAATGAATTTGTCAATGATTTTTGTCATACAATTGCCCTTTAAATGCTTGCCTAACATAATATGATTGATTGTGTTTAATAATAGCGAGTATTAGGAGTATTAAATACTTGATATGAAAAAAATACAATATTTTCATATCAAATAATTTATTTATATGTTTTGTGAGTGAGAGAAATGAGTAGAGAAATGATAATTAATGTGAAGTTATTTTTAATGCAGAATATTCCCGTATTTTATAGTCATGTATGAAATACTTTTGTTTAAAAGGCTTAGCAAAAATCAATAAAATTATGCATAAAATATAATTGCAATTTATTTGACAAATTGCTTGTAATTTATTTTCAAGCTTTTGAAGAGAGAGAGAGAGAGAGAGAGAGAGACTTAATGTCTTAAAGAATATTCTGTAATATCTCTCACACGATGTGATTAAGTGTTAAATATATTTAAATTTAAGAATATTTACTATATTACTTTAAAATGCATTAAATATATTTAAAGAATTTATATTCTTTGTGAAAAATAAGAGATTATAATTAAGTATTGAAATGTATTTTAATATTCAAAGCATTCATTAATATTAATAGTAAATGAGTCGAGAGTTAGGAAAGGGTATTAAATTAGACATTATTTTCAAGAGATAATCAATTTTTGTGTGTAAAACAGACTTTTATATTCACGATTTTGTTTGACTTTATACAGCACTTAATGATAGAGAAAGAGAGAAAATAAAATTCATTTCAAAAGCAATTTATTTTTCTCACACTTTAATTGAATTAATGAAAAAGGATTACTTGAATAAGGGATTTATATACTAATTAATTGAATGATTGTATGCCTTTTGTAATGGAGTGGGAGTTTAATCTCAATTATAAAAGTTTTTGATAGAAATATTTTTGCATTTAATTTGTATGCTCCATATTATTGGTAATTAAGCAACAAAATAAATTATATTATACTTTACTATTTACCAACGTTATATTTAACTGAAAATACTTTTACATTTTACAAACTATTTACAAAACTTTCATTTAACAACATTTTCTAAATTAATACCAATTGCTAACATAAACAAATAATTTTTGTAGAAATTATTAACTATTTTATTCAATAAATGTATGTTTCACAATTAATTTAAATAGTAACAAGGTAGTATTGCGTTCATAGAATAATAAAACTAACCTGTAAAGTATTAATTAATTATCAGTATCTTAACCCTTTCCACACATATTTTAATTGAGTGTTAGCTATGACTGACAAACAATGATTGTCACATAAAAAGTTAACCAAAATTTCATAATAGCTATTAATTAACAATTAATTATATAATTAAATCATTTATAAGCGATCAACAAAGTGATTGCAAAATCATGAATTAATTTTTTATACTCAAAATTCAAAAATTGTTTTATCTAATAAAACTTATTTAAATTTCTAGATAAGCATAAATATGACCCAAATAGACACTGCTTATTACATACAAGTTTAACACAGAAAAAAATGAAAAATTGAAAATTTTGTTTTCAACAAATCTTATATAAAGTTATCTAAACTCATAATTACCTTGAGCTTAAGATATTTGATATGGAGCTCCACTTTGCGGACACAGTCCTCGAACAGTACCACAATTCTCATAGTCTTTTCACATGAGCTGATATACTTGACAAGTGTCCGGTGGTCAGCGCTCTCCATGTCCTTCCCATTGATGGACAGTATGACATCGCCCGGACGCATACCGCCCCGGAATGCCGGCCCGTCGTACTCCACGTGATCCACATAAGTCAGTAGCTCCACCTCCCCCTCCCGTTTGTGTTTTATGCCGTATGTCTATTCGTGGGTGTATTATAAACATATGAAATACTTTAATTAAAATGTTTGAAATATTTTACTTTTGAAAATATTTGTATTAATAGATATATTATATTATAAATTAATGTTAAATATTATATAATAAAAAATCTAACTATGAATATAAAATTGTAAAATTGTATTGAGTATATAATATTTTCATATTACATTTCTTGTACATAGTTATGAGGAATTTATATTGAATTTAAGTCTAACTAAATTGAAATATATAAATAAGAATTTAATTTAAAACTTTATTAAACTTTTTAATATTAACTCATGTTTTTCACTTTTAAAGTGAATACAATTTTGACATAATTTTGATTAAAATATACTATTTATATAACAATTAATTGTTATAAGTTTACCTCAAAAACACTGACTCTGTATTGAGAGCTCATTATATTTTATTTACAAATTTAGTTTAAGTGTCATTTAAAAGGTGTCCTAAAATTATATATATAAATATATTTAATTGAAGTGAAACCTTATTTGTATTAACAGTAATACCACTCAAAAACACTTGATTTTATTTGTGAACTAATTTCACGTAAATAATATCAATTATAATATACAGTAAAATATATACGTTTCATAATTTTAAAAACTCATTTTAATCGCAATTTAATAAGTATTTCGTAAATAAGCAAAAAGGGATTTAAATAATTTTAATATTTTTAAATCTTAATAATTTGAATCTATAATTTTTATGCTAAACTGCAAACACATAGATTGCCAAATTAATTTTTAAATTAATATGAATTAATAACAAATTTCCTAATATCTATATTGATTTATCGCCTACCTAATTATTACTTAACCTAAAAAATAAATATAAAAATATTAGTCTTACAAAAGTCTAATCTAATAATTTTAATAATAATATAGTATTTAATTATTACTGTATTAAACACTTTTAATAACTTTATACTAATTTAATTTGATATGCATAGATATAATACTATTTTGCAAAATAATATCACAAATAATGACTGACTTGTAATGTAAACCCAAAGGATTGGTTGCGTTTCTCGACGATAATAGTCCGCCGCCTCCTGTCCTCCTCGGGTTGAGTCGTTATAATGCGATCCGATTTCACGGAATCCAATACCGATTGCTGTAATAATACAAGATTTCGTGGCAATGAGACAGCACTGGTAGGTGTGGTGGTGGTGGCAGACATTATATATCTCATTCACAACACACAATATTAATATATCAAAAACTTTTTATGAATATATAGTTGTATTCACAAAAATGTTTATTATCAAAATATAACACCAAAAATGTTTTTTCAAATATTCCGTTCGTATGAATAGTTATTTTGAATCAATGCTAAGGGAATAGTAGTGTAACACTACTGGTGCTCATAAAAAGTGCTGGTGGTGTGATATTGTATTTTTTGTATGAGGCATACAATGCCTATCATTAGACGTCTCACACGTAATACAGTATAACAACAAAAATCCAAAAGTTTGTATTTTAATTACATTTTTGCTCTAATAATCAAATGTTGTGTCTATAAGACAACATAGTTTCAATAAAAATAAAAATGAATATAACGTATAAAACAATAGACAAAACAAGTCTTCGCTATATAAAAAACAGGAATCTCTCTCTCTCTCTCTCTCTCTCTCTCTCTAACACCACATAAATAGTAATATAAAAACCATTAAATAGTATCTCAAGTAAAACACTTTATATAACAATAATTATTAGCAACAAATAATATATGAGAAAAAACTTTTTTAACGGTTCACTAATACGAGGCGACTATTTATTACTACCGATACCTCCACTCAACACTCGCTTATAGTTAATGAAAATAAGTTATGAAAGAAGTTTTTCGTAGTGATAACTTAATAACTAGTCGTTTTACTTATTACGAAACACATTATAAGCTAAATGTCATAAATTGTAAGGAAATGAATGATTAGTTTGTGAAGCAATCATTAATTAAATATAATTTTCATATATTTATAATATCCTTTTGCTATCGCCTATCGATAAGGTTTGAGAAATACATGTATAAGTATTATATAATATTTATATATAGATGTTTACAATATAAACATTAAGTTTATTTATAATATTATATGCTTGTAATAAAATGATGTTGATTATTTAAAACTTAAGATACATGGTGTTTATCATTATTATTAATATTATGTCATTTTGTGATTTCCACTAAACATTTACTCTCTTATCTCATCTCCGATCTGATTAATGAATAATTTACAGCAAAATAAACACAAAAAACTATATATTTATAGGTATTAATCACATCATTTGAATTGACAGATCATTAAATTCTGGTGGACTCTCTCTCTCTCTCTCTCTCTCTCTCTCTCTCTCTCTCTACCAATAAATATATTAAATATAATTGATTTGGCAAACGGTATATAAAATTTACACGTATGGGTGGTTTACTATAACGAGTCGGTAATCGACTGAATCAAACACTGGTAACAAATTCAATGTTAAGATCAGCGTTGATATCAATAACAAAAACACAATAAGTTATATAAAAACACATAAAATCAACAAATAAATTAGAAAATCGCAAAAAACATACTAAAATAAAAACACAATTCATATATTTCTTATAATCGGAAAATGATGACAACTTTTTGTGTAGCAAAACCTTTTAGTAAAACAAATTAATAATACATTTCAAAGCCTTTCCTGACGGACACTATCTATGAAGTGATTTATACTTTTTTCACTTGAATTTAAAATGTGTAGAAAAAACTGTTGATATATTTGATTTGTGCTGACTTTCATATCTTATATATTTTATATATTATATTTTTATGCTTATCTATCATTAATTAGCGTATATGTCGAAACAACAGAAACTAATATTAGTTTTTATTTTTATTCTCTAATAATATAATCGTAAAAAATGTGTGAAATATTTGCTGCATTACTGTAATATCAAAACTGCAAACGTAATCATCGACTGATAGCCATATATACCGTTTGGTAATATATGGGAATAAAATGCGAGAATTTTATTAGTAATTTAGTATATTTAAAACAAAAACAAAATTTTTTGCATTTCATATACAATGAACTCGGCAAACTATTTTTTATTCAATGCGTTTTTTGACGCAATACAGTGTTATTTATAATGAGTTTAATTATTATATAATAAACTTGATATTCACTATACGATTACAGCATTACGTATGGAGTTTACGTACACTTAATATGTGTGTATATTTTGTACGTAGATTATTTTTTGTTTTGACTATATTTGACAGTAAAATGTGATATACATGTTTAGAAATTATATAACTTTATATTAATTATGGGAAAGTTTGTATCGAAAAATCAATCATTTATACGCTCCACTGAGGGGAACGGTAGGCAATTGTGAAATAATTAATAAGATTCACCGAGATGTTTAAGGAAATATAGTATAATATTTATTATAAATATTTATAATATTTTGCAGACTTTCTTAGAAAATATTAAGTAATTATCGCCAAAAATATTCGTAAAGTTTTTTATTTTCATTAATCTTTTATACAATTTTGAGGAAAATTGTTGTCATAAAGATTTATAAGAAAATTCAATTTTTTTAATCAAAATTAGCTTAAAATTAAGATAAAATACTAAATAGTCGTATAAAATAGGTTTTGAATTTTAGTACATTTTTCTGGTGTATATTTTATGCAAAAATATTTTTCGACATCAAATGAATATTGAATAATAAAATATGAGATGTTTTTTATGTGTTTTTGTAATGTTATGTTTTATGAATAAATTTAATGTCATGTTTTCGAGGCACAGAGAAAAAAATCAATTTATAGCCCAAAAACATATCATTAAAAAATAAAAATGTAGATCTGTTTGTATCCATAAAATACAGGGATTAGAGATACACGAGAAATATATAATCCAAAATATATTTATGATAAAAAATGTCATGTTACTTAAACAAAAAGTGTGGAAAAATTAAATTTTAATTTTCCAAAACAATTTAATTGATATTATATCGCCTTTTATAGTAAACTAATACGAGATATGCTTATGAAGTGGTGGTTAGTGTTGATGTCTATCGCTATTATGCAATTTGTACACAAAAATTGGGTTATTATTGTAATTAAATTTTATAGATAATACTAACTTACACTGGACAAACTCTTATTTTTATTGTCTACAAACTCTAAATAAAAAATTAAACGATAGTTTTCTATACCATAAAATTTTTATGCAAATATTACAGTATTATGATAATATTTTTTAGACAAAAAACACGAATTAATATTAAAATCTTTATCATATTGAAAAACATTTTTGTTTGTTTGTAAAATCATGTCTAAAATAAATTATCTCATAATATAATCATTTAAAAAACAAATTACTGTAAAATTATTAACATAAAATCCTAGTTTTAATTATTATAAGGTATTTATAGTCAAATCTATTAATATGCATTTTTAATATACAGTGTGTTTAATAAGGGATGTGTTTATAGTAACAAAAATATTTTAATCACAAAAACATACGATTAACTAACGGAAGGAAATTTTGTATTGAAAATCATTGTTATAGTTATGAAATGCAATTATATTTATGAATTGAAAGCAAAATTGAAAATATATTTACAATTAATAATATGCAAAAATAGTAATCAGGAATAGGGGTGGGACAGGGAGGCATATAAACAGTATTATGCTAGTTATTATTATTCAATAAAAGACTTTCCCCAATAGCACACTATTTGAATGATATCCCGGGGTTAATGTTTGCACATACATCAAACTACCGGTGCTTTATAGCTAATTAGGCATCCCATACCCTACCCGTCGTATAATAAACTCTATGTTAGGTTTCGTAGCCATTGCTGTAAAAGTTAGTGATTTTTGTTATTATTTTATTTAATAATAACACAAACATTGCATAACTAGAGGGCCAACGGATACGGAGTTGCAGTTAAAACATTGTGTTTACACTTTTACCAGTTTATATCCGGATCTATTTAGTAGTGTGTGTAGTATACACAATATTTTTAGATCAGATTCTGTATCAATGATAACTGTATGTTTTAAAAGTCTAGACTTTTAATATAAAGTGCAATATTTATTTAACTGATTATGATTATTATAGTTTTACATTGCTGTTATCGTAATTAGTGACAAATTATTACTCTCAAAAAAAGTATCATAAAAAATTGTTGTCAGTGTCATGCACTCAATCTATGCTAAATAGATACCGGTAATTGAATTTGTCAAACATGTATGTACACCGTACAGTCCGACCCCTTTATAATTCATTAATATTACAAATGTATGGATATTTTTACGCTTAAAATATTCAGTTTAAAAGTCATCGTGACTTTGAGATTAATTTTTATGTTTGAAAACCTATTTTAAGTTACATTTAAAGCTATATTAGGAATAAAATAGTAATAAATATTATATTTTACAAAATAAAAATTATTTATTTTAAACGCAAAATAAAATTATTTATATTGACTAAAATGTTTTTGATAATATTAATTATTGTTGGCTAAAATGTATGTTATAGATTTTACTAACTTAATTATAATTCCCTTTAAAAATCATATGATTGAATAAAATATCTATAGTTATAGAGACACGAAAATGTGAGAAAAAAATAAGTTATCATTTCATTTCAATACCTCATTGATTATATTAACATAGCTTTTGAATGACGATATAATCATCGATCGCTTACTAGGATTTCGACCACATTTTGACGACTTGTTTGACATTTTTCTCTTATATAACAAACACATCAAAAAACACCACAAAAAAAGTTTCACCGAAAATATGCACCAAAATATTCAATATTAATATCAAAACGTCAGTCAAACAACAAAACTAAAACTAAATAAAATAAAAATATCACGACTTTTGGCTGTAATTAGATTTTCAATGAAAAACGTAAGTTTTCCCATTTTAATTATATACACTAATTGGACGCAAAAAATATAGTACACTATATAACAAGGGGTTGAGTGTGTGTCGTATAGTCGTCGTAAATCGTGCGGTTATTATAGCTGTCACTAAACACCGGAGACACTCGCTTAACACTGGCTATACATATAACAAGTGTGTAATCGCCAGTCGAGACCAAACACTAGTGTATAATATACTGACGATAATTATGAGGCACTAAATCAGAGCCGAAAAAATTGCTCACAAATCGCTTGACATGTAGGCCACTGGCAGTCAATTTCACACCAAACACAGCCAGCCCTGTATGAAAAGGCTGTCCCTCATAGTAATACGTGTATTACATCTGAGAAATAGATTTTTTAATTTCTTTCCGATCGTTGAATTAATTTGTGTTTGA